AAAGTTTAAATTAATTTAATGATTTCTTTGTTCAAAGTTGGGTGACACATCTGAGAAAGCTAAATATATTACCACATAGTAGTAAAATATGTATTTGTACATGCTCATATTATTTATATTTCACAAGTATTTCACCTACAGTGATATTATGCTTAATTTACCTTTATCTGGTTACATAAAATATCTGACAAACAGACAACAAAAACGGTTTCATATTACCAGTTTTTTTGGTCCTTACATGTGTCAGTTTGATAGCCTAACTTCATCATATCCATATATCACTAATATAATCAAATACAGTTCACTCAGTGACAGGAGTCCTTTCTGAAAAGTTCCATGACAGCAGCCAGTATCAGCTGCTGGAATGATTGCAGTAAAACTTTGCTTGGGATTTTTTTATTAAATAGCACCAGCCATTCCACGTGGTTATTCTGTAGGATATGCAGATTATGACTTCCATAGTGCTTATTTTCTGATTCCTATTTCAAATAGAGACCCCTGTCTCATTTGTATCATTCAAACCCAGGACAGCCTTATTTTTATTTCATGATATTCTCAAGCTCCTGCATAAGAAACTAAATGCACAACTGGTAAAATCTTTTGAAGTTCAGAATTAATTCTAAGAGCCTGGGAATTTGATTTTCAGGACAGAACTTCAAAGCTTTTAAGCATTAGGAATGCAACACACTAATCTCCAAAGTGACATAATCCATCTCACCTTCTATTATCAAGCAAATAGCTCTAATTAAGAATGCCAAGTTCATTTTCTAATTTCTTCTGAAGTATAAATCTTTACCACTGTGAAACCAGCTTTTATCACTCCCAGGAATATGGCTGTTCTGCATTTAATTCTTGAAATCAAGTGATGCTTCTTGACTCAGGATTTTGAATTATTTCTTAAACATAGCCCTTAGAAGCTTGGAAACATTTCCTACACACTTCCAAATATTCCATTTATTTCATATGTCTTTCTTTCCTGGGTTCCAAGGCCACCCAATTCTAGGTGGCTTCATAAAGTTAAAAGAAACAATTTTCCAAAAGGAAACAACATACTATTCTTCCACACCACACCCTCCACAATTTAAGAGGGCCTGCCCAAACATCCTAATCCAAGGTCTGCAAAAAAGTCAGGTTAGAAGGTGAGGGCCATACCAATTTCCAGATGTTGTTCCAAAAGGCAATTACAGCAACAGAGAAGGCCTGCCTCCTCAGATGACACTGCTTAATTGACAGAACCCAAAGCAAGCCAACTTCCACACATAGGATGGGCAGGCACTTTGGGAAATGCAGTCCCTCCAATAATTAGCCCCTAGGCCATGTAGGGCTTTAGCAATCCAGCAGCTTGAAGTGCATCTAGAAACTGGCAACCAGTGGTGATCACAGAGCAGGGGTGTTATATGGGCATATGAAGGCTTGTCCATCACTGTTTCTGCTGCTGCATTCCAGACCAGCTGTAGCTTCTGAGGGCTACAAAGGTCTTCAAGGGCAGCAATAATCCTCCCGCAAGATGACCAAGGCATGACTGACTGTGAAGAGAGCAAACAAGTTGAACCTGTGGAAAATCCAGGAGGATTCCCAGACTGTGCACCAATCCTGAGTCAGGCAATGCAACCTTGTTCAGGACCAGGGGAAAATCCTCAAAACTGGGAGGACCAAGCACCCATAGCCACTTGTTTTGCTAGGGTTGAATCTGAGCCTATTCCTCCCCATTCAAACCTCAACAGCCTTCAGGAACTGGGACAAGACCTTGGCAGTATTGCTTGGTCAGCTAGGGGTCAAGACGTACAACCGAACACCATCTGTATACTGTTGATACCTGAAGAAGAAAAACCCCATTATTCATAGTCCGTTGATACCTGACCCTAAACCTCCAGAAGCCTCGTGTAGAGAAGTGACAAACCAAACCCTAAGGAACCCCACAAATCTTTGAAATAATGAATTGACAGATTGAGAGTTTGACAGAAAGCTACATGACATGAGATATGCTATGTAAATTCTTTCAGAAAATAAATTAGCCCTCCCAGAAATAGCAAATTATCAGTGTGAGAGAAAGACATTTTCTTCTAGCATTCCTTGTGGCCTTCACAGATCTGATCAGTCTGGGAAAGGAGGCAACTTAGTGCTCTCCACAAACTCTTAATTCCATCTTCAGTAAGGTTAGTTTGGTCAATGATAAACAACTGTGGGTATTAATACTTCTGGAAGTACCAAGTAAGGAAAACAGGATGCTGGACCTTTGACCCATCCAGACAATCTCTTTTTATGGGAGAACAGGTGTTTTAAGATATACATTCCAACTGCCCAGGAGATGAAAAGGCTAATTATGTGTCGTTAATAGTTGTTAGCCCCACCAGGTAGACCATGAATCAACTGCAAAGGAAAATCAAGGCTCCTTTATTGAGAGCAGCTATAATACCAGAATCTTGCAAATTTAATTGTGCTGTATCCCCTCCCCTTCTTCTACCCATGTGAATTAGGGAGGTATCTGCCTCAGCCACTTCTGCATACTTTCTGCTTGTTTTGGACTTAAGCCATGTTTTTCTCATCACTTTGGTAACAGATCTGGCCTATCAATTTCATCTTCCTTGTTTTCTATGGTAGCCTATCTACTGACTGCACGCTTGATAGTGAAGGTAGACAGAAGACAGACTGGCATCCACTTATAGCATTATTTTATGTCTACCTTTTACAGACAGACTAGCACTTGGTGGAGTGGCACGAAAGCCTTGGAAAAGGTGCTCAGATGCTGTGACGTGTCTCTATCTACAAACATCAGAATGGTGGAAGCAATTTCCCCATTACGCTCAGTGAGAGAATTAGGTGACAGGTACAGACAGAATATTCTCCAAACAGCAGCCATCTTTTACAGTATTTGGATGAGTCTATCCAGTGCTTCCCACGGCATCATGAAAAAAATCAACAGCAAATACAACCTTAAGGCAAAACCAGATGAGCAACTGGAGGGAACAGCAATAACCCTCCGCCTGATCCTTCCTGACAAAAAGGAAAACCATGAAATCTTTTTCAATTCTGTAATCTTACCAAAAGCTGAGCTCAGTTTCAGGATGCCTTTATCTCACCTTTCTCCATACCATACTTTATTTATATCTTGCCTTTTAGGGATGTGCAAAACATTCCATGCACAGACCACCCCATACCCGGAACAATCAAGTTCAGGCAGCCTGCACCCAGACCAAGACATACGTGTATCATCCAGACATAGGCTCAGAACACATCATTCCAGGCATGTATGTTCCAGAGTAGGAGACAGCAGGAAAATGCCATTTGGCTGGAATGTACAGCACACAGCTACAGAAAGGAGAAGGGGAAGGAAAGGATTTGGAACACAGGGGAAAGGGAACAGCACCAGATAGGTTACATTGTGTTTGAATTTAAGCACAATGGAGAGGAAGGAAGATGCTGGAAATAAGAATACAGAAGGTCCCCTACATATGAATTTTCAAGTTGCGAACTTCGACCGATATGAGTAAGATGGACCCGAAAGTTGGAACTGGAATTTGGGCCAGAAGTCAGGAGAAAGCATGCCGCAAACTAACCCTTTCCCACCATCTCCTGACTTCCAGTCCTGACTTCTCACCTGGTCGGTTGTGTTTGGTGTGTGGTGACTGCAAATTGCAGACTGCAAATGTCTGCAATTAAGCGCAAGAGTCCTGAAGGGGAGGGGGGGTAATGTGAAGAAGCGGTAATCCAATATGATACTCATGAAGATGGAGATATTGAAGAAAATAGAGTTCCAGACCAAGTTGATGTCAGAGGGGTTCAGCTTAACTGAGAAAGCACTATCACCGTTCGAGATGCAGGACCCTAATGTGGAGCCCTTCACCAAGGGGTCTGTAGCTGTCCATGATGCAATCCAGTGCTACAACGTCATTTATAACAAGAGGAGGAAGACCGTCACCCAAAGTTCACTGGACCACTCCTTCAGGAAGATGGAAAAAAGTACGGAGGATGAGCCTACACCATCACCACAAGTGCTTACATCAACACTGCTGCTTATGTAAGGTGCGAACTCCGCATTTTTATTTTTATTTTTGCTTGTTGGCCTTACAAACAAAGCAGACTTACGAACAGCCTCTCAGAATGTAACCCGTTCGTAAGTAGGGGACTGCCTGTATTAAATTTAGTTAACAAAGGGATGACACTAAAGTGACCATCTGGGTTACTCTCCTAAAAGCAGAGGGAGCAACAACTATGCTATACAGATGGCCTTCCACTTGTTCAGAGAAGAGCATCTTCAGAAAGGCCTCTCCTGTAGATCGTCCATAGCTTCGTAATCCTGTAGAAGCAGCTTTTGCTGCCTGGTGGGGAGGCCTGAAAAGCAAGAGAAGACTGCCGTGTTTGTGGAGAGTTTGAAAGCTCGGGTTAGGCCTTCCTGGACGAAGAGCACACGCATAAGCCCTTGCCTGTTCATTCCTGTTTCCGGGTGAGGTCATTCAAGGAAGCAATACCAGCGGCGGCCCCACTTCTCCTTCTAAGCCACGGGGGAGAAGTGTGTGATTTTGCACTCTGTCCACCCAAGAATAGGGAGTAAGCGGGGGGACGTGACAATTAAAACTAGGAGAGTGAAAAAGGCCGAGTTTCCTAACGCGCGCCGATTCGACTCTACAGGACCGTTTTGCACTATATTGCGGGGGGGGGGGTCAGAGCTACTAGAGACAACCGCTGGTCTTCTTCTCTCCATCCGCCTCGCCGAAGGTCTTTCGCTCCCTCCTTCCTACTGCAGGACTCGAGAGGGCATCCGAGGGAGGCGACCGCGCCTCTCTCCTGCTTTCAGAAGTATCTCCGCGCAGAAACCCCAGATGTCCCCTCCCCCTTCAAAATAAAAGCCGCCGAGCGAAACGCACTTTTTGCGTAAGTTTCCTCCCTAGAGAAGAAGCGCCGCTAAGGGACAACGAACAGCTGCACTCGCATGCGCGCTGCCTCCGCCCCTTTCACAAGTTTTATAACTCGCCGGGTTTCCGTGTCCTGTGACTCCAGTCAAGGGGTTCCCGCCTTCTTTTCCTCCGTGCCTGTGGGGTCTCTGGGCGTATCTTCCCGCCAAAGAAGCGGGATTGGACAAAGAAAGTTCCCGGAGCCGTGGTAGCCACGCGAGGGAGCGCTCTCCGCTTCCCTTCTTGCTCCTGCCTGGCTGGGTTTTCGCACGAGCGCAGCTCCAGGGCCGGAGAGCGTGGAGGCCGGCGAGTCGCGAGGCCGGCATGGCTGGAGCAGAGAGGCGCGGCGGCGGCATACCTGAGACTCGGGAACATCTCTTTAAGGTTTTAGTCATCGGGGAGCTGGGCGTCGGCAAAACCAGTATCATCAAGCGCTACGTCCACCAGCTGTTCTCCCAGCACTACCGGGCGACCATCGGGGTGGATTTCGCTCTCAAAGTCCTCAACTGGGACACCAGGACTCTGGTCAGGTTGCAGCTCTGGGACATCGCAGGTGAGAGGGCAAAGAGAAGCTGGGCTGCGGAATGGCCAGTCAGTCCGGAAGGGAACTGAATTTCCTCAGCTGGAGGGGAAAGTCCCCTTGCATGTTTTCAGACAGTAAACTGCAACTGGTTTCCGTAAGAGAAAGACAGTGAGGCATACTGGATTGAGTTCTGGAAATGGACTGGGAAGACTCGAGTTCAGATCCCTGCTAAGTTTCTAAAAACATTCTCTGTTCTCTCTGTTTCAGCTTTAAATAGCTTAAGGGAATGATAGGAGAATAAATATGCTATGTTGAATCGTACTATTCTGAGCTCCCAGGAGAAGTGGGGATATCTTTTTAAGGATTCTGGGAGTCATATTTGTTCTAATTTGGAATAGTCAATATCTGTTTTGCCCTATGGATATACTCACTGGTAGCTTTGATACGTATATAGATTTGCACTATGGACGTACACCAAAATACATGGGAGTTTTCCTCCATGGTTCATGCGCTTCCTTTTGTTCTGTGTAGAAGGGATGTTCATTCAGGAAAAATGCCAGAAGTTAATGAGCCTTTACGCACATTTTAAATATGTTCAGATATTAGGTTTCAAGGCTTTTGTTAAAATTTCCAGCTTTAAACACACCCAGTTGTGTCCAACTGTTTTCTTAGCAGCTGCTTGATAGAGTTTCAGAAGATTACAACTTTTTTTCATGCTGATGATGGGAAAGCTTCACCTGTTTGATACTGACAGCTGTGGCATGGGTAGGGAAGCACACACATTTTGGTGTTGCATCTATAATTTTCCAGATAGTCTCAAGAACAGCTTGAGGAGATTTCTCTGTGTGCTTTACTGGTGGTCACTCTGAAAATAGTAAATATCTGAAAAGAAATTGGAGGACTTATGGCATTTGCTCTCCAGTTGTGGTATTTTTTTCCTGCTTGTTTTTTTCATTGCTGTTTAAAGTTCTGGCAGTGGTAAATTGCAGAGAACTTTGGTATGAAGTTTCATATTGCTGAATTGCTCTGTTTTGTAAGTGTGATCTTATGGATAAGTCATATGAAAATACTTTCCTCTTTTCTCTATTTAGATATCTATCCAGTTCTGCCTTTAAACCATTCTACAGAGCAGCTGAATGCAAGATGCATTCTAGACCTGAACCTTGGCCTTGAAACTGGGTGTAACTAGATTTTTTTTAGGGCCTATGCTTGAGTGACAATGATTACAGCTAGATATTAGTCTGGTAGTGCCTTTTCAGACTAACACATTTTATAAAAGGCATAAGCTTCTACATGGAGATGCATGGAGTGGCTAAACTGAGAGTATTAAAATCTGTGCTTTAAAAAAAGATTAATCCCCTTTCCTAGTTGGATAAAGTAAATACAAAGGAATTTTGAAGATTGAGATGGCTTCAGATTTTGCAAGCAATGTAAATAGGTGAGCAATAGTGACATATTAAATTTACAGCTTCCCCAAGATCTAGCTATCCCCCTTCTTCTGTTCATATTTCAGCTTCAAGACAATTAGAATGCTAGCAATTGCCACATAAATATATTTAGGAGTTTAGCTATCACTTTAATTCATGTGAATAAAAATCACTCTGGGTGTCTGTAGGTATGTAATATATGAAAAAGACAGTAGCTGTATTACAGGACTTACAGGTGGCATTCTGTTAGCAATACTGAATGTCCTCATGAGCCAAATGTATGACCACAAACTGCAACTTTTTTAAAAGGGTGTGACACTCCAACTTGAGCACGTGATAGTCATTCTCCACAACTGTTCAGTCTTCAGTCTTTATATCTCAAGTAAATATTGCAGTATGTGGGTACAAAGAAAAATAAATTTTCAGCTAGAACATAGAAATGTCAATCTTTGAAGTAGATAGGAGAGTATGGTTAAATATTAGAAAAAAAATAAAGTTTGTTTAAAGCTGATTTGAAGTTATGAAACATCAAAAAAAATTAAAATGATTGTCCAGTGAAAGAGGTTGACTAAACAGCCAATTCAGACAACATATTCCTATTATAGGAATCAAGTAAGATGAGACTGTTGACTTAAATCCTCTTTAATCCATATTAGGCCAATATGTTTATTAAAACAACTCAAAATCACATAATAGCATGTAAGCCTTCTAGTTCAACAAGCAAATGCTAAATAATGAAAAGCACTAGAAAAATGACTTTTTATTCAATTCATGTGTCTACATGTAATTACAGTGTGCTTTATTTACAGTCTGAAATTGTTCATAACTTAAAATTCTGCCCAAATAATGGGGAAATTTCTTACTACAGTTCATAGCTTTTTAGGATGAACAAAAATGTCACAAAGAGGCATGCAAATTTCCACTATTTTTCTTTAGTTAAGATGTTAAAAAGTGGGATGAGAAGATAAAAGGGAAAAAAATATTGTTTTAGCCATGAAGTCAGCAGTTCAAAGACAGTCTCAAAGTCAGTGTTAAAATGAGGTTACACCTAGCATTCAGAGTCAAAGAGAATTATTTCCTCCAGGCTAGAAAACCACAGGGCCCATTAGTTCTCCATTTATGTACTGCCATAACTGTATGGGAAAGGAACAGTTAGCATCCTTACCTATTCATGAGCGATGCTTCTTATTTAGAAATGTGCAGTGGGAGTAGAGACTGTGTGTACAAAAATTTCCCCTAGGGTGTGTAAGGATTTAAGAAATTATCCAAAGATGTAAGAAATTATTCAATCAGTGGTTAGCAGATGTTTTATTTGGAATTGTTTTCTGTGGTTTACTTGCATTTTACAGAGTAGCCAACCCACAACAGGTTTAGCAGGTTTTATAATGAGTTTTCTGAAATGTCCTCCAGTCTTTTTCAAACCTCACCGATGGCATCTTTTTGAAACTTCAACACAGCTGAATTATTAGTGTGTTGGGTACATTCAGGCAATGTGCCAATGAAGCTTACCAGCAATACTGTTCCTTTAGGAGACCTGTGCCTTCTGCCTAATTACTTCTTGCTGGTAACCTTTGGCTGGGATGGACTATAAATCCATCATAGCTATTGGCCATGTTAACTAAGGAGATTTATGCAGGAGAGAGAAGACTGGGATTGGGAATTCCTCAATCTGCAAAGCAGGCAGATTCGGGAGAGAGCTTGTTTGGTACTGCTGCATTCCTGAAACATATTTAACCTGGTTACTTAATTAAATGATTTTCTGGATTTGCACAATTGAGCCATGAATTAACCTAATGGGCTGGATCACACAATACCCTGCCACAAAACAAACAGAAAACAGCTCTCCCAAACCTTAATTGAAGTTAACCCATATTAACCATTACATGTTGCTCAAATTCATCTGCTAGGCTTTTAGTTGGGTTGGTTAAGAGTGTTGGATGTATACAGCCTATATGTATTCTGACTGGGGTTGTCTTGTGATCTCAGAAAAGTGCCCTTCTGTAAGCTTTATCACCCTGTTCTTGTTAGCCAACTTGAGTGCCTATATAAGCAGAAATGAAGGGAATCAGTTTATTACATTATTGTTCAGCATAAGTCAGACTCTCTTAATTGAAATATTTGTATGTTGCTCCAAGGTTGGGGAAGGACACGTGTTTTCCCATGAATATTTGTTGCAATGAATTCTAGCACAATATTTGGTTGTCTCAGATGAGAATTACTTCTGAGAAAACATTGTTAGGCTTTGACTCTAAGGCTGGTTCTACAGTAGGGAACAGACACTGAAAGTTGTTAACATGAACACAATTATACAGTGACCATGATATGGCAATACAGTGACTGGATTCACATACTATGCTAACATAGTTTGCTTTAATCATGGCTTGTAGAAGTCATAGTGGCTGAGTTTATAGGGTTAAGCCAAAGTTTTATAAACCACAAGACTTGGTTCACACATGGTACTAAGCCAAAGACAAGCAAACCACATTATGGTTTTGTATAATATAGAGATTCTGCCAGTGGCTATATTTTTAGATGATTGTGGAAGAGCACTGCCAAATAATGCTAATGTGACCAAATCCGGTAACTCCCATTTTAAAGCTTCTGGAGAAAAATGTTGGTGTACGATTTAAATATAAAAAGGAAAGAGTAAAGTAATATTTGTTTAAAAAGCCCTGTTAAAATGAAGCCCTAGCTAAGAGTTAAAGGGCTGGGCAATAGGTAGATTGTATCTTTATGGAAGGATGTCAGCATTCCCCAACCTAGTGTTCTCTAAATCTTTCCTGTAATCCTTGGCCAGTAAACTCAGTGACCATTCTAACTAGGGAATATAGAGTCTGAAGGACACTGTTTGGAGAAGATTGATTTAAGACTGCAGTTCCAAGAATACAGATGGAAAACTACTGAAATTAAGGACATGCACTAGTTCTTATTATCCAAACTGGGACTTTTTTCTTTTGCTCAGTTAACAGAAGCCTAGATTCTCGCATTTTATTAATATATTTAGTAGACATAACCAGTTAGTGATGATGCTCTTGTCTTTCTCTCACCCCCCAAATTTACAGTGGGCTGTAAATTAATACATCTTTGTTTACTTCTCTGCCCATTTAAAAACTGGAAAAATTACTTGGGAAGCAGATGAATCATGTTGAATCACACCTTTTAATCAGATTTCTTGCTATAAGCACTACTGGCATTCCTCCTTGCTTCATCCTGGAAAGACTATACATACACTCAAATAAAATGTGTCTGCCTTTCTATAGTGGAATCACGGTTCAGTTGGGCTCTATGCACCCAGAGCTTTGTTATGACTTGAGAGTCAGCTGTTGAGAGAGGCTATTTCTGGGGGCCTGCCAGTGCCCAAGTATGTCTAAAGTAGCTTTTTTGATCTTGGTCCAAATAATTTGCCTGCTTAACTTACATTAGTAGATTCTGCAAGATCAGATTGTATTTGAGACGCTGTCCCAATGGGGCTGAGTGCTACAGAAGGCCCTAGTGACGCATGGCTTAGAAGTACTTGACACATGAAGGGGTTCCTGCGGCTTGTTGCTTTAGTTTTATGTTTGTGGAAGGTCATGGTAGAATATGGAAATGACTGCTCGTTCC